TCTTCAGGACTTTCAGATCTTTAATCCGACAGCGACTCAGCAAGCGTATTTCTCGCCGATCCTTTGGCCGATGGATTGAGCTCTACAACCTAACTCGTGCAGTCATACACGATCCCAACACCTACAAACGCCGTGGTCGGCGCCAGCACTTGAATGCCACGGATCACAAATTCATGGAAGAATTGGTCCTTGACCAGCCAGCACTTTTCCTTGACGAGATTCAAGAAAAGCTTTACAATGCACATGGGAAGATGCCTTCCATAAGTACCGTTCATCTCGAACTTATGAGCCGTCTTATGATAAGCTTGAAGAAGGCCTGTGTCAGTAATGCTCGGAAATCCTTGATGCCAAAGTTGAAATGGATGCGCGATATGATGGGCTATCCGTCCAATTTCTTAGTGTTTACGGGTCAGTATTATTTCACTTTCTATCTCAAATATTCTGTATTGAAATCCTCTGCCTTCTCACGAGTTGCAGACGAGAGCGCAGTCTGTGGACGGGATCTGCTACGAAAACGACAGCGAAGCAAGATTGGAATACGCACTACTCGCAAGGTGCCTAAGATGCATCAAGGTCGGTATTCCCTTCTTCCAGCCATCACTTATGATGGCTTGCTGGCTCTTTCAGTTCTTGAGGGGCCGGTGAATCAAAAGCGATTCGAGAAATTTTTGAAATACAGCTTAGTTTGTGATTTTACCTTTACTTCAATACCCATTGTTCCACACTGACCTCATTTCATTGTACAGCTTCCTCGCATGAATCGATTCCCAGCGGACAATAGTGTCTTAGTGCTGGACAATGCCTCGATCCATCGTGGTGGATCAATTTCTGACCTCTGTCGTAAGAGAGGTGTGTCTAATCTCATTATCCTTCCTGTGTCTTGTTTTCAATCCACTGACTCAAGCGGGACCTTTACAACTTTAGGTATTCTTCTTTGTTACTTACCACCATACTGTCCCGAGTTGAATCCAATTGAACTCGGATTCAATGCCTTCAAATTTGACCTTCGAAGATCACAAGTATTGGCTACTAGGACTAATCCAATTGGACCGATACGAAGGGCTGCTCATAGGACCTTTGGACCCGAACTATTACCTAAGTTATACCATCATTGTGGTTATCGCACATTTGATGAAGCAATTGATCGTAGAATGGAAGAAATATGATTCCTTTCAAATCATCAAGATCGAGCTTTTCATGGACCAATTTCTTTTCTGGTGCAACTACAGTTCAACACGATTTACAAACCTTTACAAACTTCAAATAAATCAGCATCAGATCACATCTTGATCTCACAATCAAATTGAATCAATCTCAAGTCCTCAAATCCAATCTAATCAGCCCTTTTGATTTCAAACACCATTCATTTCAAGAAACTATCAAAAATTGACTCGATCCCAAATCCTCAATTTCAATCTAATTAGCCCTTTTGATGTAAACATTATTCATGTCAAGAAGCTATCAAGAATTGAATCGATCCTAATCATTCCCAAGTCCTCAATTTCAATCTAATTAGCCCTTTTGATTTAAACATTATTCATGTCAAGAAGCTATCAAGAATTGAATCGATCCTAATCATTCCCAAGTCCTCAATTTCAATCTAATTAGCCCTTTTGATTTAAACATTATTCATGTCAAGAAGCTATCAGGAATTGAATCGATCCTAATCATTCCCAAGTCCTCAATTTCAATCTAATTAGCCCTTTTGATTTAAACATCATTCATTTCAAGAAGCTATCAAAAATTGAATCGATCCCAAGTCCTCAATTTCAATCTAATCAGCCCTTTTGATTTCAAACATCATTCATTTCAAGAAACTATCAAAACAAAACAAATTGATTTAAATAGTAGATCTAGTTTTGCTCTTAATTTGTGTACTAGTGGAACATGGTTTTCTGGAGCACACTGTTGAATGAAATCTTAAAATAACTGTTCCGTCATTCAGCTGAGCCCGATATACATAAGACACAATTTAGTTCGATCTTGAGGCAATGAAATGGGCTAAGAGCATCATTTGATTATCGCAAGTTGCGAGAAAGTTGTGATCAAGCGGTTCAAATGGGCTAAAATTGCCTTGACCCTTGTTTTGTTGAGTGCAATGTAAGAAAGATGAGATCGAGCCAGAAAATCGACTCGATCCTGGGGCAAAAGAAAGTCGCAACGTGTCTAATCTTGAGTGCAATGTAAGAGAGATCAAGCCAGAAAATCGACTCGATCCTGGGGCAAAAGAAAGTCGCAACGTCTCTAATCAAGAGACAAACCTTATGTATTGAAGTCATTGAGATCGAGCTCAATTTGAAGCTCGATCATCTCCTTCTAATTGTAACTCAATCCTGGGGCAAACAAAAGACACATCATGTCTAATCAAGAGACAAACTTGATGTCATGAAGTCATTGAGACCAAGCTCAATTTGAAGCTTGATCATTTGCTTCTAATTGTCTTTGGGGGGCACAGAAATTTTAGGATTGAGCTAAAGATTTAGCTGGATCCCAAGACCATCAAAAGTCACTTAATGGCAATGTCAGAGGGAGAATCATGATCAAGCTGTGTTTGATGCTTGATCAAGAAACCTGGTGTGAGGCAGGGTCAGAGGACCATGATTCTAAATAAACGAGATGGTTTTATTTCTTTTATTCACTAGAGAGGGGCAAAATCTATACAGTAGTGTAGAGCAAGGATTTAAAACATTGAAGTTCGCCTTGCTTTGCGAGCGGCTCTTTGTTCGCCGGTCCTGTTACTGATATACTTCTGAGAATCTAGGTAGAGCATAGTAATCGAAGCCTTGGACAATCCATGTTGTGCTAGATCCGCTCGAGATAAGTGTTCTTCTGTGATCATTCTATGATCGGTGATTTCAGCATCTTTTAGAATCTTTCGAATGGTGTCTTTTCTATCATCTGGTAAAGTGCAGAACTCAAGGAATCCTTCGGTTCCGTTTGCAGCGGCAGGATCATATGATAATGGTGAAGATGACACATGAGGAAACAATTCGGGTGTATTCTTTCGTTTACGAGAAGGACATGGAGTTGCAGGTGGCTCGACATCGCTAGCTGGTTGCTTCTGAGGTGATCGTACTGCTTCACCAATGGCTCCTGCGATGCCAACAACAAGTTGAGTGATAGCGGCAGGGGTGAAAGTATTGGCTTCAAGATTTTCAGTTGATGAAGCGGGAGTTTTGTTTTCAGCCTTCTTGCTGAGGTCATACTTGAAATGGACCGGAGGAGTATCTATGTCAACCTCATCTTGGTGCTGGAAAATGAAACACCATAATGTCAGCTTACATAGGGAATAAAGAGAGGCATCCAACTTACTCGTAGCTTAGCCCACTCTTCGGCTTTCTCAAGAGTCAAAACGAAGTATTGAGTTGAATTGGTTGGATCTGTCACAATCGGACACCTTTTGTGGTAGCGACCGTCCATCTTGTGGTGGTCAAGAAGGTCACTTGCAAACTTGTTCTCCCGATCACCAGCTGTTTGTTCCGTATCGTCTGTTCCGCCTTCAGACTTTGGGTTTGAGATCATGTAAAGATACATCAGTCGAGTTTGACAAAAACAGTGGTTAGTAGACAAATAATCTCACCTCTTCAGAGTCAAACAAATCCTTGCCAATTCCCTTTTTCACCTGAAGCTTGTGCTTGCGCTCAGCTAAAGCCACAATTTGCTCGGTGCGAGCAGCCTGAAGGAATTCAAAAACAAATGAGACATGAAGAGACCACCTGCTTGAGATAGGCCGGACTCACTTTTTCAGCTTGAGCTTTGACCTTGTTTGGGTGAGGTGCAAAGTAGCTAATCCCAGCTTCCCGAGCGGGAAACACAGCTTCGCCCTCTTCAACCCATTGTTGGACCTTGTCTGGACTTAACTGCTTTCGAACCTTCAAAGTCTTCGGGAAATCAGAATGTGACTTGATGTACCAAGTCCAAACACCAGGGTTCTTCTTGCTATTTGATGAAAGATTGATCAATCTTGTGAGGGACTGCTTATTGTCCTTGGCGAGTTCAGCACATTTTTCTTTGA